ATAGGAAGAAGATGGAGTAACTCACAGAAATGAAGAAAGAGCTGAACCAGTTGAACTGAACAAACAATTTTAGAGAAGTCTGTTGACCTCCCCAGGCAGCTGCCATTAATAAAACTCAGGTCCAGTGATTCCCAGTTTTTGACGTCTCCTATCTTAAATTGTTCATACCCAATAATGGGTATCCAATTACGCTAGTTGGGACCCAGGTACAAAAATTTTAAAGCACATCTAGTCATTGAGGACACAACTCTGTAAGCTGGGTTGGGGTGGGAGAGTTATCACGAGCAGGTCACAACCCAATTTGCTTAATTGGTATCATCTACAGTTTCCAAGAATCTTGAAAGTTATTGGGGTATATTTTATTATGTCCACGATGTAAGTGAGAAAACAGGTTCAGAGACTGGTGTCAGGGAATTTGTTAGATTTGACTCTTGAAAGCAACTGGCACATTAGGTACCTTCTAGGAAGTACATAACAGGTAGTTTTCCTGTTTTGTCTTAGCTTCCAGGAAGCTTAGAGTCAAATGAAACGTTAACCTGTATTGTTAACATGTTTGCTTTTTCCTATGAGCTCTGGTCTTGATTTTTCAATTATCTCTTTCATTTATCATGCATGTCCCTGTAAATTGGTATAGATCCTGAGCTATAAATCAGAAATATAAATAAGTGATAAAAATTCACTTTTTCTTAAGGTTATATAAATCGGGACTTCTATTAAACTCCAGCTTCTGTGTACCAAAATATAGCTTCATTTCCATTTAACTATCACCCTATTGAAACTCAAAAGCATCCCCAAATCATTTTAAATTTCTACTTCACTTATATTTCTATAGCTTTATTTTCTTTCCATTTTTCAGACTATTTTATCAACCAATAATGGAAAATTTTTGCTAATACATTTTGCTCATTTATTCTATTATTACTTGACTCTCTAAGCACAGATTGTTAATACCAAATGCAATTGGGCATTTGCCTGGAATTGGAAAAATGTGATCTATAAAGCATAACCTATGTTGGCAATAAGCTGTAGTTGGCTGTGTTTTAAAGATTGTTTTTATTCTAAAAAGTAGAGATCAGTTTGAGTTAGGAAGTTTTTAGAAAGACGATAATTAAGAATACATATGTGTATATACACACATATGTATTCATAAACATATATTAATTTATATATATATGTATGCTATTCATTGAACAGATATATAGAGGGCAAGTCTTACAATTAAGAAGTCATTGGTCATCTCTGATAAGGGACCTAAGAGAGCAGCTCCAAGAAACAATCTAAATAGTGTAAAAAACATATTGCTTTCTCACCTGGTATAAGAATTGTTTTAAGCAAGAGACAGTCTTTTTATTTATTTATTTATTTATTTTATTTTTTGTTTACTGCAGTAACATTGGTTTATAATGTATAAATTTCAGGTGTACGTCATTATACTTCTATTTCTGCATGGATTACATCATGTTCTCATGTTCACCACCCAAATACTAATTACAGTCTTTTTTTAAGTAAAATATCTTGCCAACCCACTTTGAATCTAGATATTGAGATCCAAAAGATATTATTTGGAAAGAAACAGTAAAATAAAAAGATAGTCTAAGGACTATGAATTTGAGATTGGAGGATATGAAGAAAGGAGGAAAGAAATTGGATTGGACAAATTGAAACCATAAGATATGACTAGAATTTGGAATCTAGAGTGGTGGGGAACATGAGCAAGAAAAAAATTTTCAGTAGCAAGTTGGCAAATGACTTTATGAACAGGAAGTTTCTTCTTGGTTTTTTTTTTGTGTGTGTGTGAGGAAGATTGGCCCTGAGCTAATATCTGTGCCAATCTTCCTCCACTTTGTATGTGGGACGTCACCACAGTGTGGCTTGATGAACGGTGTGTAGGTCCACACCCAGGATCTGAACCCACGAACCCCAGACTGCTGAAGCAGAGCATGTGAACCACTACACCACCGGACAGGCCCATAGGAAATTTCTTAATGTTGTATTTTAAACTGTTTTGCTGTGGTATAAACTTGCCCTTCCTCCAACTTCCCCAAAATATAATTAAGTTCTGTGTACACTAATTTTATGTTTTTATTTCATTTTTTACTTTTTGATTGGGGAATATCAAGTAAAGTAGGCTATATTCCACCTCTGAAACAGCACTAAATAGGAGATAAGAATGTCTGCAGAATTTGAGATATGTATGAAATCAAGTATTCGGTGGTTACAAGTGGAAAGGTCATGAGTATTCTAACAGGATGATTTGAGTAGACTTTGTTTAGATATGAAAGAATAGAGTAAACTCACCTGGCATTTTGGATTCTTTACTGAAACATGAGGAACAACATAAGTACCATCAAAGAGGTAAAAAATGGTATGAGATCCAGAGGATAGAGAATTCAATTTATAAATAGTTCAAGCACTTGGTCATTTTAAACAAGAGAGTACTTGAAGATGATTTAGAGTTCTTCAAAGTGAAGGAAAACAGATTTCAGAAAGAGAAACATGTTAAAAAGATTATTGAAGATCTTTGGCCTTTGATATACTTATACAGTGTCTCTGAGAGAAGTAATCTGAAAGCCACACTGATAAGAAGGAGGATGTTTTGAATAGAGATATTCCATAGAGAACATCCATGTCAGTGAACAGAATGGATCCTGAAATTGTGGGAGAGCCACCCACTTTATGGATGTCACTTTTGTCAATACTTGATAGGGGCTTAAACTGAGAAATCTGTTGAATATTAGATATCTCTGTAATCTAGATGAATGATGGGATCAGTAGTATATTTTTGACAAAGGAATAGTAGCTGGTTTATAAAACTTATCCATCTATCAAAAAGGGGCCATCAAGATACTTGTAGAGTTGTGTGATTTTTGCCAGAAATACACATTTGGTAGTGTCCAGCATGTAGACAGTATTAAAATCTATGTGGATTGATGAGATTAGATAGATCATAATGGTGTAGATAGAAATAAAAGAAGATCATAAACAAGCCAGTGTCACTTCAAAATTTTGTGATAATAAAGAGAAAGAGATGCCAGTAAAGAAGAGAAAAATTCACTCCAGTGGGTTACAAAGTTATTTAACCCTGCTGAGACTCAAGTTCCTCTTCTATAAAGCAGAACCTACTTCAAGCAGACATTAAGAGAATTCAATTATTTAGCATTTCAAAAAGTGGCTATAATATAGTAAGCGCTCAATAAATGTAAGTTAACTTGAGTGACACTCAGGAGTCTGTAGTCTTCTATTTTTATAAAGTTCCCTAACTGATTTTGATGAAGAGCTAGCCACACGTTCTACCAAAGATGGCTATCTTAAAAAAAAAAAAAGTGTTTTGAGCCATTTACATAATTGACTGGCTTTCCCTCCTGATGTTGTGGAAGCATGAGTGTGGAATAGTGTTTCCCAAGTATCATCTCAATCTATACATACATATATATAACATAATATATACCATCATCAATATATCATATAAAAATATATATTTTTTATTGAAGTAACATTGGTTTATAATATTACATACATTTCAAGTGTAATCATTGTATTTTGACTTCTGAATAGACTACATCCTGTTCACCACCAAAAGTCTAGTTGCCATCCGTCACCATACAAATGTCCCCCTTTACCTCGTCCACCCTCCTCCCTACCTTCTTCCCCTCTGGCCACCAATCTGTTCTCTATATGTACGTGTTTTGTTGTTGTAGTTTTATCTGTCACATATAAGTGAAGTCACATGATATTTGTCTTTCTCCATCTGACTTATTTTGCTTAATATAATACCGTCAGGGTTGACCCATGTTGTTGCAAATGGCAAGGTTTCCAAAAAGAAAAAAAAATGAAGTCAATCTATATATTTTACATCAAATTCATAGATGTGTTATGTGTTTTTTCATTAATATTTCCCCTATCTCTGCCCTCCTTTTTTTTGTGTGTTCTCCTAATTGTGGAATGTACCTAAGTACTCACTTCCAACCCAATTTACACAATTTTGAGGGGACTTTTTTATCGTATGTGTAAATCTATAAGTTTTCCACAAAGCAGAAGAGATTAAGACAGCCTGAAATTGACTTAGTGTTGGGTGAATGAGATGTTCGTAAATTTTTCTTCAAGTTAAAACTTGCTGTACATGGTAAGTACTATGAACATTGCTATGGACAATAAATTGGCCGTTTCTAGTCCTTTGGATAAAGGAAGTTATAAGTAAATCATAGAAAAAAATCTGTATATCAATTAGCGAATTATAGATTTTTTAAAAATTCTGCTGTAATGTCTGTGAGCCATTAGTAATACATATGGGGCAACAAATTGTTCTTATATATGTTTTTTATAAACTTCAAATCAAATACAAATTTGATTAACGTACTTAGGAAGGTGATTTCATAATAAAAAATACGACATGAATGTGAAGAGTGGCATTGATATTGCGGAAATAAAAGTTTATTATTACTGTTTTTCTTATGCAAATTAGTTAAATCTAGTTACGGAGCTTTTCACATGTTGATGATGTTGAACTCCTTCAATACTTATAGATACAAATCATAAAACTTAATTAAAATCTGTGGTGTGTTATTTTCACATTGTTTCAGCTGTGAATTACTAACACTTCTCAGTCAGATTTTATGCTTATCAAGGGCAGGAACATTTTCATACTACTTTTATATTTCTCACAGAATCTGTGATAATGCTCTGTGCACAGCAAATCATTAAAAAATAATTGATTGGATCCTTTTTAATTACCATATGTACTTGAAATTTTATTCTTGATTTTATATGAGTGGTTTGGATAGATATTACAATTCCATGATTATGAGCAAACCAACAATTTAAATCTCAAAAAAACAGGTATTCGATAAATTTTATAATTTGGTCTATTCAAACAAATCATAAATGTAACTTTTTTTTTTATTTTAGAAAGTTTTTTTTCCATTTTTTTTTTTGAGGAAGATCGGCCCTGAGCTAACATCTGTTGCCAATCTTCTTCCTTTTCTCCTTTTTTCTCCTCAAAGCCCCAGTAGATAGTTGTATGTCATAGCTGTACATCCTTCTAGTTGTTGCTCTATGTGGGACACTGCCTCAGCATGGCTTGATGAGCTGCACGTAGGTCCATGTCAAGGATCCAAACTGGTGAACTTCACCACTACGCAACTGGGCCTAAATGTAACTCTTTCTATTTACCTAATGTAAAAAGTGGGTGTGTGTATTTGCATGTATAATATTTATTTGGAGAGGAAAAGAAGTGTGGTCAATTTGAAAATCCAATTCAAATCAGTCAGTGGTCAATGACATTTTTAGCTCATATCACACACATTACGGAAGTAATCTTCCAAGAAAAATACTTATAATTTTCAACATGTATATTTAGCTAATATTATTTGACATTGTTCTCTGGTAGCTACAAAGACATATTAAGAACAGTTTTGACCATTCAGAGCATATTATTTAGCAGAGAACAAGGCATATGCAAATATCTATAAAGTAACCAAACTTATCCCCGATTATTTATAATCAGATGTACTTAACAATGATATGACCATAGACATAACCACAAGAATAATGGCAAGAAAATGTTTTAATGATAAAAGAAGTAAAATCAATGTATTGTGTTAAGAGAAAAGCAAGGTTACTTTGGAGGAGAATAGTTGAAACAGGGCAGAATTCCGCTTGGTGTGAACTTAAATGAACTCTCTAATGGTGGCTGCTGTGTGGAGCTGAAGAGTTCAGTAAGAACAAGCATTCTAGGTAGAGATCAGCTGGAAAAATCATGATGATAAAATTGCACATGGTGAGTTTGAGGACTGGCAATCTAGTATGGATGTGTTAATTTTTCTGAGCTGGGAGAGGATATTTAGCAATTATTTTGTTTTTTCTCTTTTTTCTAACCCAAGAGAGATGCAGGAAAGGACTAAACCATTGTCTGACCATATTTCAAAACTACCGCGTACATTAAACTTCAACATTTGTTTCATTTCTCTAATTTCTTTTGTAATCATTTCTCTTCTTCTTTCTGTCTACCCCTTCATATTGGTATATCTGTTGGATCGCCTGTCTAGTTTTTGATTCTAAAAGAATATGTCCTATTGCCTCCTTGGGCCCAAGCACCACTGTCCTTCAGGCTTCTATGACTTCATTCTTGGTCCAGCCCTGAAGTTAGGGTGATCAGAAAGAGGGTGAATACTGAGAATGCTGTTGAAAATATACATTAAGTTTATAATATAGATGATATTGATTGACACTTTATGCATTTTTTAATTTATTTGCCCCATAATTTCAACGGCAATCATAATTTCCATATCTAGCACATTGTTCCAATATTTCATGAAAATATCCAGGAAACTCTAATCTCTAAACCCTAGGATACATATTTTGAATTATTTATTATATCCCAATATAGCATAGAATTTATTAAACTAGCAATAGGCAGTCAGTGACTATTTTTTTAGAAGGGTGAAAGAAGCCAATTGTGACGTTGTACAATAGTGAGGTTGTGCAATTGTAAATGTGCTTTATGAAAATAATTCTTACAATAAAATTTAAACTTCTTAATCTTATTTTAATGCAGAAATTTAGCATGTTGCTAGAAGATAAAGTTCTTGGCTCAATTTTGTAATTAAGAGCTTTGTGATTTATATATCACATTCATGTATTTGGCGAGCTCCTTCAAAGTCCGTCTAACATGTATATAAAATCTTCATGTTTTAAAACACAGAAGACAAGTCAGAATGTTTCCAATGATAACCAGATACATATATTTTTGAAATGACTAAATTCAAAGTCTAGAGTTGAAAACCCAATAAATAAAATTAAGAATTCAATGACTAGGCTTACCAGATTAGACATGGCTGATGATGTGAGTTGTGATCTAAAAGAGAAACAACATTCGGGTCAAATGGAAAAAAATTGAAGAATGGAGTCCCTAGAGAAAGAGAGTGGAGGAGGAATATTTTTAAAGAGATATTGACAAAGATTTTTCAAAACTGATTACAGCTTTCAGCTACACATTCAAGAAGATTATATACACTATTAAAGGTAAATACAAAAAAATACCATAGCATACTATAATAAAATTGATATCTACCCCCTCAAGAAAAAGAAAAAAAAAAATTTAAAAATAGCCAGAGAAAACAACTGATTACTTTCAAAGTAGCAAAAATACACTGACAGAGTCTTATTAAAACCACTAGAGGCCAGTAGAAAATGCAATGATTCCTTCAAGAAGCTGGGGGCAGAAGGAAACAAAAATGAGAAAAGAGTTGCTGCCATTTCAGAATTCTACCCAAAGAAAATATTCTCCAAAAATAATGGTACAATTAAAACATTTTCAGAAGAAATAGAATTTGTCCCCATCAGTAAGAAAATAATAAATTATTTTATTTTATGAGAAAGAAAGTAGTCCCAGATGGAAGGTCACAGAATAAAGAATGAAAAAAAAGCTATGAAAAATGTAATTATATGTATTTATCAAAGGTAATGTTGATTGAATAAAAACAGCAATAGTAACACTGTGTGAGTGTATAACATATACAGAAGTAAATATTTAGCAACTATAGCAATGCAATAGCAAGGTAAGTGGAGTGAAAGTGTTTTAACAGGAAGTATTCAAATTATTAATTTATGTTAAACTTTGATAAGTGAAGGATACTGTTGTAATCTCTAGGATGACTGTTAAAATAATAGACATAGAGAGGAAATAATAAAAACATAATTTAGGCATTAAGGAGAGAAAAAAATGAACACCGAGATTTGTGTATTAGAGTTCTCCACAGAAATAGAACCCATACGATATACAGAGATGATGGACAGAGAGAGAGAGAGAGATAGGTATAGATATAGATATCATCTTCCTTTATATATAGAAGAAAGGCAAGGGGAAGAGACACACAGATAGAGAGATTGCTTGATTACAGGAGATTATAGATTTTATATCTTTTTTTTGTCATTTGGTCATTTAATAGACTATAGGTTATAGAGAATTGGCTTATGTGATGATAGAGAAACTGAGAAAACTCACAATCTGCCATCTGCAAGTTGAAGTCCCACAAAAGTTGGTGGTGTAGCACCAGTCTGAGTCCAATGGCCTGAGAACCAGGGACCTGATGGTGTACTTCTCCGTCTGAGTGTAGGAGAAGACCAATGTCCCAAATCAAGCTGTCAGGCAGAGAGCAAATGGACCCTTTCTCCATCTTTTTGTTCTCTTTAGGCCCTCAACAGTTAGGTAATGCCCATCCACATTGGTGAGGTCAACCGTCTTAACCCAGCCCACTGATTTAAAAGCCAATCTCTTCCCCTGAAACACCCTGTCAAACACACCCAGAAACAATGTTTAACTAGATATCTGGACATCCCATGGCCCAATCAAGTTGCCCCATAAAATTAAGCATCACAATTTTAAACCAAAAGAAAATTGAGAACATACCGGGAAAGACCATTGGGTGAAGGATATAGTCAGGAGAAGAACACGCAGCAGTGTGCAAAAGAATGGAACTTCATTTCCTTAGATTGGGGAAACTATGGTTGTACATTGACCTGTTTTTGTGTGAAAATTCTATTTAAATATTCTAGTCTACTTTTGCCAGGGTGAGAGATGTCTGAAGGGAATTGTGTGGGTCTTGGGTCCAGGCATGGAAATGACGCCCCTGAAACATTTGAAGTCTTTTACAGGAGATGATTGGAGGAATGCTTGTGTATCTTCTTTAACAGTCATCGGTGCTTTGAATAGTTTTTTCCTTGTGTCTTTAGAGATATGAATACGTTTCCTCCCCCTTCTGTTTTACTAGCATTAAAGGGGTAGAGGTGGGTGGGTGCAAGATGTGGCTTTCAGCTATAGCACCTTCCAGAGAGTTTGTTGCTTAATACAGTGTTATCCAGACTTGTGACATGCAGTGAGTTGTATACACTCATGCATTTCTGTTGGAATGGTTAACTTGTACAAGCCTTTGAAAAAGATGTTGGCATTATGCAACATCTTTTAACTATGCTTGCAGCCACTTGAAATGGTAACTCCACTTTTGCAAACTTCCCTTAAGAAAAAAATTACAGTTTTGAAAAATAAAATGTGCTCCATATGACCAACACAGATTTGCAATGGAGACCATGTTAAAATAACCTAAATGCCTAACTAAACTTGAATACTGACTGTTTTAATAAAATATTATGAAGTCTTCTAATAGGATTTTTAAAAGGTGGCATAATAATATGAAAAATGCCTATGTTACTTGAAATTAAGAAAGCAACATATAAAATTGCACAGGTGGTATGATCACAGCTATGAAAATATTGTAAAAGATTAGGAGAAAATTAAACAAAATGCAAATAGTGTCTTTATGTAGGCATTATTAAAATGGGTGATTTTATTTCCCTTTACGCTGTTTTGTATTTTTATACTAATTATTCATTATTCTTTTATGGAAAAATGTGCAATAAATGTTATTCAACCTTAAATCTTCTTTGGAGAAATGCAGATTACAAAATGTATTGTTAGACATTTTGATAAATGAGTAAGAATCAGGGCTCTAATGTGAGGTCTAGGTTTGAACCTGGCTTCTCACTTCAAACGCTCTGAAGTGTTTGAACTGAGAACACTTCAAACAACTTGGGTAAATTGTTTTACCTGCTGGATGTTAGTTTTCTCATCTAAAAATACCTGTTATAATAATGTCTAATTTATAGCATTATTGAAAGGACTAAATGAGATAATGTATGTAAAGCACAGAGCACAGTATTAACTTGCCTCAAAACAAAACAAAAACTTGGCAGTAGTCAACAAGTCAACGATGTTGCTAAATAATCATAATTATGCTTCCAACAGTATGAAAACATGGTTACACTTCCTGAATCCAATTTTTAACGTATAGAAAAATGAATATAAAACTCCTTGCATTTTATACCTAATGAAAAGTGAATAAACAGAAGAGCAAATGTTATTAGAAAACCTAAGCATCCATCTTAGTTAAAAAAATGAATAATGGACTACTAATTGAAAATAACTCAAAGTTCACCACTCTAGATCAGGTAACCAACTACTATGTGTTCTACCATGAAACGTAGCTCAACAAAACATACAACATTTTCTTTCCGTAAATTTCTAATACTGTGGGTACTGTTGAGAAGAATTCTGTTTTAAGAATTCCAAGCAGGATTTAACAGAGAAATTCAAGTTCTTTGAACTATATGTTTAAAGTTGTAACTCCATATCTAGTCATTTAAACATTTATGCTTTAGAAAGAGTCCTTTGATCTGGTTGTGCCTACATGGATAAATTCTCTTATAAATCATTGAAGCTGGTTCATAGCTCTTCCCTTAGTGTGTAAACAGAAACTCAGGGGTTGTGGGGGGAGAGGTGGTGTAGAAAGGAGAGGGGCAAGGGAACTGGACAGAAATTCAAGAATCCAGACTGAGCAACCCAGCTCTCTTTGTTGTATAAGTTGGCCTTTCAAGTGAGGATTTCCTTTGAAGAAATGTTCTTGTACTAAAATTGCCTTAAAACCACTCTTTTAAACCAATGGACCCCTTCCTGTGCACTAGGGGCACCTAGGAGCAAGGACTTATTTCTAGGAGTTTCTAATCCATGTGTACACTAAGAATTGCCTGAAGAACAAAGAAAAGTCATGTGGTCTACATGTGTGTAATATATTTTTCTTTTTTCATCTTTATTGAGGTATAATTGAAAATAAAATTATAAGACATTTAAAGTGTACATATCATGATGATATACATATACATTACAAAAGGATTCCTCCCATCTAGTTAATTAAGATATCCATCACCTCACCTCTTTATATGTATGTTTTTTGGTAAGAATATATTTTTCAAACGTTTGTAGATGGTATTATGTTTAATAAAACAAATTTACGTAGATTTTTTCAATTTATATTATCCCAATTAACAGAAATAAAAGCATAACTATTGTAAAGTGAAGGTTGTAAAACTTGAATTTTTTGTAGGGAAGAAAATATATGAATTGAAAATATTGAGAGTCTATTATTCCAAAATCAGTACATTATAATATATTTTTATCTTGGTGATGAGAGGAGAGCAAAGAGTTGGTGTGTCTGTGAGTGATACAATGGGAGAAGTGAATATTACCTAGTTTGCCAGTCTTCAAATTCTTGACTAATAATAGTATGTATTCCCACTCACCTCTCCCTCTCCTGACACATACACAAAATCGTACACATATTCACACACCAAACTCTCCCACCAATTTCGGTATCTTCAGTGTGCCCCAAGGTCACGGATGTATCAAACCTTGAAGAGAGGTTTTTAGAAAGTGCTGATGTAAGCTCACCAAATTAGTTAGTAAACTAAGAATATTAAAAATTTAAAAGTGGATGAAAGAGAAATAAAGGAAGAATTTTTTATCTAATTTGGGTCTATGATCAAAGTTATGATAAATGGACATCGAGTTAGGGACCAAAGGAAAAGTTAATCTTTTTATCCAGAAGGCTCACTTCCACAATTCTTGCCTTCATTTAGTACTTCCTTGAGTACCCGGCCCTCTTGTTATACTCCCTACCGCAGTCTCCCTTCATCTGGGTCAAATCATAATCTGGGCCATAGCTTCCAAGGTAATGTCCCATGTTCAAGACTGTGAAAGGTTTTCTGGTTTCGGATAATTCATAAATCTAAAGTCTAACTGTAGGATGCACCAAAACTACGACAAATGGCTAAAACAATCTTTTTGCCTTGAGTTAGTTCATCCTAAATGGACACATTTTAAGATCTGGTTTTTACCAAATATAGCCAGGGGATCCTTCCTTGGCATCTTAGAGCTTGGGGTTAGAGATACAATCAAACCAGTTTTTCTCTGGTGGGTGATTTAAAGGTATGAAACTTGGTGGAAGACTGCAGTAAGATACCTTTGGTTTTCTGCCTGGCATAATTATTTTAAAAGCAACAACCAAACTCAATATTTTGTTTAACTATGAAGCTTGGAAAGCCCATTCTTCATTTGCATCAATACTGTAAACCCTCATAGACTTCTAGCTCTTTCAGATTAAGAATATAAGTGATACTTGGTTGATTTTTCTGTATTTTAAAATTTCAGCCTGAATATACTTTGGGCATTTTTTATTAAAAAGTGAATTTAAAGCAAAGCAATTAGTTTTAGCTCACATTTCTCAAAAAAAAAAGCAATAATGAATTCCAATTTTTTTTTATTTTCAAGCAGTCCTAAAAGCGACTTATTGAAAAGCATTAGGAAATGGAATAATGAGATTTTAAAATAGATGAAAAGTGCTCCTAATTGATATACTAATTGAATTTACTGGTACACAATGTAAAACACTTTATTTTTCTTTCAGGAAAACAATTATTTTATCAACCATAATTTGTGTTCTTTTATATAATTATAATTCATCAGTAAAATGTTGCTCATTCCTAAATCAGCTGAAATAATGGAAAGTATATTTGGAAAAGCACAAGCTTCTAGATGTAAACACATTTGATGGCTCTGTAAAGTTAATTAACTAATAATACTCAAATTTTTCAAATATTAATATTTTTAGTTGTGTACTCTGGTACTTTAACAAACACTTTGAAAAGAATTATTACATATGTGGTTTTGAGAATAGTTAGTTCTTCATAAGTAACTTTTTTTCTCTCTACTTTCTTATACATGTAAAAGCAAATCAGTTATAGATATACTATTTATTAAAATCCAAAGGTAAATAAATTAGGAATATGTTACTTTTCTAATAAACCCACTTATTTTTTGAAGTTAAAGCAAAAGGAAATCCTTAATTTTCATAGATATTAAATATACAAAAATAAAAGAAAGTCAGAATCATTTAGGAATTAAATTGCTCATCAGATAATAAAGTATTTGCATAAACAATGCTGTCTTAAGACAGGTAAATTTTTAGGGAAATCTAACTTTCTGTAGAACTTAAAAATCTTTTGAGGATTTACTTATGGAATGGTGGTGTGAGAACGTCCCTAGAAAGACAACTTTAAAAAGTTATTTAAAAACAACTATTCAAAGTTTCTGGAAATTTTCCTGAGGACATACAGAAAATGAAGAAACATTTATTAAGGAAAATCTACCAAATCTCAGTAAGAACAGTGAGAGCCTGTAGCATGTGAGCCACAAACCCACTCCCTTATTCCTCCCTTCCCCAGCTCAGCGTGATGGAAAATCCCTTTTGGGTGGGGAGAACCAATAAGATAGGACTCTTCTCCCTCCAGCTCCCAACATGGTGAGTCACCAGCATTCTTCATATTTTCCCCCAAACCCAGCTCTGTATAGCTGAGGCTAAATTTCAGGCAAGTATGCTCAAGAAGTCAGGAGCTCCCTCTTTTACCCAGTCCCCAGTGATAGTGTGGAGGCTTTTTCCCAGGAATGGCAAGCCAGGAATACTGGGGCTCCTAATTCCCTCATCTCACTCA